ATGTTTGCTGCATATGAGTTGAAAAGAAAAAGTTTACTCATACAATTTTTTTTTAAGAACCCATAATTAAGAAACTTGCAATAAAACACCTAAAAGTTCAAATTTCTTTCTAAGTCTCTTAATTCACTTTTACACTTCAAAAACTATTAAAAAATAATTAAGAGACCCTATAAAGGGTTTAGGGATAATCATGCTCTAAAGTAGCTCTCTATTTGTTTCCAGAAAAGGAAAGGCATACCATATACATACTACTATAAATAGCTGAGAAGAGAGGGAGAATCTGTTTGTAAAAGAAATCAAGCTGAGTAAGTCTTGCACTCTCTCGTCTTCCTCTTTTGCTTGGAGATAACAATAACAGAACTCATCGTAGCAGAGATGGCAAGATACTCAACGAAGAGGATGATGTTTCTTCTTCAGCTTCTTACTCCAATCCTCTTGCTTCTTCCTCTCTTCATCTCGTCTTCCTCTGGTGAGAAAATCGAATCTTTTAGTCTCTTTCACTTCTTTTGCATCAAAATCTTGATGCATCGAACACCTTCTACTCATATAGTTTCGATCTTTTAGTTCTTTAATATCATCTTGATTCGTCTTGATTGATTAGTAAGATACTCTGTTCTCTCTGTTTCATGCGTTGTTGTTGTGATTCAGGTGAAGAAGGAGTTAACTCAAGTGAGATCAGAGTATGTGTTTCTAAAGAAGGACGATCTTATCAACCATACGAGCTTCTAGAAGGAAAGCTTCCCGAGTCTGCTGATCTTGAGTTTAAGAATCTAAACATGTGTAACGTGTTCCATGACAAGACTTGTTGCTCTGCTTCTTCACGAATGCTCTCTGTTTCATTAGCTCTCCAAAACCTAGCTACTCATGGAGAAGCTTCTAAAGATTGCTTGTACTTGTTTGAGCTTTTGGAATGTTCAATCTGTCACCCTGACGTTGGAGTTCAATCTGGTCCTCTTCGCATTTGTGCCTCCTTCTGTGACAGTGTCTTTGAGGCTTGCTCTGATGCTTACTTTAGTACTCATGATCAGGTAAAAATAACGGTTGTGTTTGAGAGTCACAAGTTTTGAGAGAGTGATTTGGTTCTCGTTTTATGTGTTAGGTTATAGTACCGTGTGGAGCAAGCAATGGTACTACCATCTGTGAGAAAGCTTCTGAGTTGGAGACTAATGGCACAGCCTTCTGTGAAGCAGTGGGTTTCACTGTTGTTCAAACACCTGATGATGATTCTGTAGAAGCGCCTTGTTACGGAAGCAAAACAGTTTTAGTGGAGGCACTCTTAAAGACTCTGCGGCTTCAAAATCTCAAGTACAAGCTGGTGACAGTGTATCTTATGTGCTGGACTGCAACATTTTTTGTTCTATCAACAATGCTCTTGTTCAAGTTTGTCTCTCTCTCTCTCGCTCTCACTCTCTCAACATTTATTACACTTCTTGAATCTATGCCTTGGAATTTGATAATACTCAGGTGGATTCATAAGATAGAGAGGGATGCGAGAAGATTGAGAAGATTGAACATGAATGGGAGAAGATTTTAACTCTTTTTTGAGTTCCTTTCATAGCAATTCAAATTTTTTAAATAGGCTTATATAATTCACTGCTATTAACTCTTAGGGAGTTTTGGAGACTCACATTGTAAATCAGACAGATTTTACTCAATATATCAACCATGAAAGGCAACTTAAACATAAAAAGTTTTTTGAAAAATGTGGTTTTGTTTTTACAGCTGCTTATTCTTTGAATACTAAAGTAAAATAAGCCTTTGAGGTTATCTAGAAGATAAGCACAGAGAGGCTAGCTTATAAGGGAGCAAACTTTATTGCATTTCAAGATTTGCCCATTTTAGGTTAGCTGAGAAGACATAAAAACATAAAGAAAGCCATGTGTTAAGTTATTCCTAGCTAAACCAATCAGGAAAACAAACCTTCTTGAGAGGAAGAATACTGCTTGAAGATGGGACAGGTTTCAAAATCTCAAAAGAGCAAACAAGAGAGTGATAAGGAATATGAATGGGAGGATTTAACACTCTTTTTTTTTAGCTCCTTAGAATAGAATAAATTTTTGATTGTTTTAAAAATGAAAATTTATCACTTAAATGGACATCCACTGAAGATGTATAACAATATTCTAATAAGATTTAATTGAAACATCTAAACTGAATTTTTTTAGGAAGCACAGCTTTTTTGGCAAAGAATCAAAAATAAATTAATCATTTCTTTGATTAAATTTGGAGGGAAAAAAAACTGATTTTATAAATAAAAAAAATTATAAAAACTTTATATTCCACATAAGTCCACTCATACCAAGTTTTTAAATTTTAATAAAACTGTTATCATACTAATTTAAATATTTTAAATGGAAATGAAAAGAAAAGCCGCGCATAGAGCGGGGGTAAACTCTAGTGTGAGTATATAAGTGAAAGTTGTTACACATTTGTTTTCACTAAGAGCGAAATAGTTTGTTGTTACATAGTCTTCTTCACTCATAGATCAATACGTCGAGAAAGATATGTCCTCAACGAAGAGGATGATGTTTCTTTTTCAGCTTCTTCCTCTCTTCATCTCGTCTTCCTCTGGTGAGAAAATCGAATATCTCTGAGTCTCATTTACACCATCTTGATTCGTGTAACTGAGTCTTGCGTTTCTTGATTAGTTAATACTCAAAAAAGTTATCTCTGTTTCTTGCGTTTCGCTTTCTCGAAAAGAATCAAAACTTAGCAAGAAAATCCTCATACAAATGTATTGTTTGAATGATATTTGAGAAGTGTAAATCTATTTTAGAATTCACAAGTTTGAGAGAGTGATTTGGTTCTTGTTTTATGTGTTAGGTTATAGTACCGTGTGGAGCAAGCAATGGAACCATCTGCGAGAAGGCTTCTAAGTTGGAGACTAATGGCACAGCCTTCTGTGAAGCAGTTGGTTTCTCTGTTGTTGATGATTCCTCAGAAGAGCCTTGTTACGGAAGCAAGTCAATTTTAGTGACAGTGGTCCCTGTGGTGGAATCACTCACAAAGACTGTTCGGCTTCAAGAGCATAAGGTCAAGCTGCTGCTACTGAATCTACAGATTTCGTGTATTACATCAGTTATTGCACTAGCAGGAACACTCATGAACAGGTTTTGCATCTCTCCCTCTCTCTTTTCTGTCTCAATATCAACATAATTTCCCTTTTTAACCAGTTTGATTGATACTTGAATCTCTTGTGTTCTGGAATCTGATAACTCAGGTTGGATTATCAGATTGAGAGGGGTGCAAGAAGATTGAGAAGAAGAAACAGGAGGAATAAGAGAAGATTCTAACTCTTTTTTTTTTTGAGTTCCTTATCATAGCATTCAAACTTTTATATGGATTAAATATTCCACTGCTATTAACTCATAGGGAGTTTGGCGACTCAACACAGTGTAAATCAAACAGTTTTTTTACTCTTAAGGAAAATAAAGAGCCAAACCATGAAAGGCAATTAAATATAGAAAGTTTAAAAATATGTTTTGTTTTTACAGATGCTTCTTCTTTGATTACTCAAGTAAAGTAAGCCTTCTCCGTTGCAGTTTAACCTACATCTTGAAGATATACACAGAGCCTATCTAAAGGAAGCAAGCTTTATTGCATTTCAAGACTTGCCCATTTTAGGTACCTGATAAAAATATCAAACGTAAAGAAAGCCATGTGTTTAAATTATGTTGAGAAAATAACAAAGCTAAACCAAATGTGTTATCAGAAGAAGAGCTTCTTGGTCTTAAATACATTGGTGAAAAACAAACCTTCTTGAGAGGAATACCGCTGGAAGATGGGGCAGGTTTCAGAATCTCAAAAGAGCAGACTAGAGATTGGTCCACGCTTAACAATGCACCTGCATTGTCAAACTCTCCACCATAGTTTGGAGCAGAGAATATAGTCACTAATCTCCTGTTTGCAAAAAACTCATAACCATCTTCAACTACCTACAAACACACCAAAGTAAAAAATCACAAAAGGCATCTCAAATAATGCCTTAAAAAGTCTTTTTTCTTTTTTCTTTTTTACCTGATGGCCACGGCAAATTAGGTCAAGATCATTTTTATCCAAAAACTCAGCAACAACATCAGCTCCAAAAGTAGATGAAATACCTCTATCACTATCAGACCATCCATCCCTCTTCTGATCAGGATCAGACCAAAGCAAATCACAAAGCAGACCATTGTCTGGAATCTCTGTAGGCCTTTGAATCTCCCTAATCTGCTCCAAATTCTCCAGCTCAGGAGACAACCCTCCGTGCATACATAAGATCTTATCGTCAATGAGAGCAGATACAGGCAAACAATTGAAGCAGTCTGTGAATATCTTCCATAGCCTAACGTTGAATCTCCGTTTGCATTCGTCGTAGAACCCGTAGATCCTGTTGATCTTCGCGTCTTCGTGGTTGCCTCTCAGGAGAAAGATCTTGGACGGGTAACGGATTTTGTAAGCCAAGAGGAGGCAGATTGTCTCGAGGCTTTGCTTGCCTCGGTCGACGTAGTCGCCGAGGAAGAGGTAGTGTGCTGAAGGAGGGTAGCCTCCGTATTCGAATAGACGAAGAAGGTCTTGGTATTGTCCATGAATATCGCCTGAATCATAAAATTCAAAAATTGTAACATTTCTCGTAGTTTGTAATATTATAATAAAAAAAAAAGATGTTAAGAGCATACCGCAGATGCGGATGGGGGCATGGAGGTCGAGGAGATTGGGTTGAGAGAGGAAGATTTGTCGGGCGTTAACGCAGAGTTGACGGATCTCAATCTCTGAGAGCTGAACCTGTTTGCCTCCTTTGCCTTCTAATAATCTTCTTATGATATCATCCACCATACTTATCTCCATCATCCCTTCCATTGACGTCATCATTGCTCTGTTTTTTTTTAACCAGAATCCACAACCAACACCAAAAGATTCGCGCCAAATCAGGCAGGTAAAGATCGACGTCACCTGTTTTTTATTGGATTTTTTTTCTGAGAAAATGGGAGAGGAAAAAAGAGAAAGAGACAAAGATCAGAAGGGAAGCTTGATGTCTTAAATTTCAGAGGATGGAGATGGATCAAATGGGTAATGATTAGAATAAATTTCAGAAAAAGTAAAAAAAAAAAAACAAAGCTTTCAGGTTTAGAATATTTGTGTGGAGAAAAAACAGATGGTGCAGATATGTCGCTCTCTCTCTCTCTCATAACAAAGCTTACATATGAAAAAAACTACTATTAAACTCGGTTATGCTTTTCCATTAAATTAATGGACATTATGTAGTAGTCTTATTAATAATAAACGGATTATTGAAATTTGGATCCAATGAATTTACAATGATTGAATAAATGAAACAAGTGCTGCAAATGATTTTCTTTTGACCAAAAGAACTAAAATGATTAGAAATGGCCAACTCTCAAAAATAGATGGAAGAGAAGGTAATTAGTGTGATACCTCCTAAGGCAAGAAATGTGTATAGGGTAAAAGATAATAGTCTCCTTACATTTATTCCTCTATTAATGATATTTATTCATGTAATTAATTGTTGGGCAAGTAACCGCGTCTTTTAAACAGAGCGGCACATAATTTTTAAACTAAAGTCAAACTTTTTAAATGAATTGGGCTTAAAAGTTTAGGGCCCATAATGGAAATAAGATAACCCTAAAATTAAAGGGAGTTATAAAAACTAGAGTCATCACTTCTCTTGCTGAAGCTTCCACCGAGGCGGCACCAATCACCGGGACGCTACAATGGTACTTTATCTCCTTGTCTGAATGCTAACTTAGAGTTTGTTTTGAATTGTTTCGAATGTGAATAATTGTGTATGTTCTGTAATAAATATTGAGTGATTTTTTGGATTTTTTTTTTTGTTTTTTTTGGTTTTGATTTAGTGACATTTGAGCTAACTCGGTCGTGTGTTTTGTAGGGAATTGATTTGATCGCTGGAGGTAAGAGTAAAAAGACCAAAAGGACAGCTCCTAAGTCTGACGATGTCTACCTCAAGCTCACTGTCAAGGTCAAAACTTTAAACAATGATCTTCATTTATTGAATTTTATTGAATAAGAGTTTTTTGACATTTTTTTTTATTGAAAAATTGCAGCTTTACAGGTTTCTTGTAAGGAGAACACAAAGCAAGTTCAATGCAGTTATCTTAAAGAGGCTTTTCATGAGCAAAGTCAACAAAGCTCCTCTTTCTCTTTCTAGACTCGTTGAGTTCATGACCGGCAAGGTTCCATTTCTCTACCTTTATGTTGGAACTAGTCCTATGCAATGATGATGAATGTGTTCTCTTACTTAGTCTATGCTATGAGTTTTTGAATGTGATTTTTGTTTGTTGTGATATAATAGGAAGATAAGATTGCTGTCTTGGTTGGAACCATAACTGATGATTTGAGGGTACACGAGATCCCAGCTATCAAGGTTACAGCCTTGAGGTTTACAGAGAGAGCCAGAGCTCGCATTGAGAAAGCTGGTGGTGAATGCTTAACCTTTGACCAGCTTGCTCTCAGAGCTCCACTTGGACAGAACACTGTAATATTCTCTCAACCAAAACCCCCACTACTTCCATTTTCAAATGATAATATGATTAAACTTTGATTGTAGGTTCTTCTTAGAGGACCTAAGAACTCACGTGAAGCTGTGAAGCATTTTGGTCCTGCTCCTGGTGTGCCACACAGTCACTCCAAGCCTTATGTTCGGTCCAAGGGAAGGAAATTCGAGAAGGCCAGAGGAAAGAGGAAGAGTCGTGGATTCAAGGTTTAAGAACATTGTCAGTGTCTTTGAACTTGCTTCTGGACTGTTGTTGTTGCCTGTTGACAATATTTTAAGATTTATTAATATTGTGCTTATTGCACATTGTACTGCACCATGGATACAACCAAAAGGATCTTAGGTTACTTGTTTTGTACGGCACACACTAAAAACACAAAGCACTCATACTTCTAGGGTCGAAACATTTTGATTTGCAGATTTTAATATCTTTTAGGATACAATAAGTGGATAAATAATAAATTAATTTGAATAATTTCTACATAATGGTTATTATAATTAAGAGTTGTAAACATCTTAATGTACTGCGATATTAAACACGAGTTTACAATTCTAAACATTGACCATTTGTTTGTTCCAAGATTTCTTGAATTAGAGTAAGTTAAAAAACACGTCATATGTCATCTTAATCGGATCTTTTAGTCTTTCAAAACCATCGTTGAAGCCATCTTAGTAGAACCTTTCGGGGCAGCAGCTGGAGAAACCGAACCAGCACCACTTGTGTCCGAAAAAGTGGAGAAATCTGGAGCAGCTGAGCCGCTAGGGATAGTGCTTGCAGCGTTCGGATCAGCAGCCAAGAGGCCAGGAGTGTAGGGAACACCTTTCCCCGGAATCCAAAGATCACCTTGAATATACTGATCAGGTGTGAACTTAAGAATCTCTTCGTTGCTCAGTGTCTTGATTCCAGGCCAAGTAACCCTGCCTGCAAGGCCTGCTCCAGGTCCTATGTTCTGAACTTCAGAGTAGAACAATGTGTCTAGACCAAAGTTTCCTAGCCACGGTTGCCATCCTTGTGGCTGGATAAAATCAGGAATAAAAGTGTTCATAATAATAGTTCTTGAATACTCTTTCCACGGCCTTCCTAAATAGGCTTTGCTAGTTTCCTTGACTGCCAAGTAATCCGGTTCCCCTGCAATAGTGCAGCCTTGGAACACGAATCCAGTTGCTTCCCTCACGTCTTTACGACCATGAGCTGTGATAGGACACGCCTGGTTCGGGAGTGGCTTCCTCACCAACAATGTGCAGTTCTGGAATACAGCTGCTGCGTCTCCAAAGAGGAAATCAATGGTGCCTGAGATGGTGCAGTCTCGGTAGAACTGACGGTGGGAGTGAGTGTAGAGTGTGTCTTGGTAACCATCGAATCTACAGTTGAAAAATATTGACTCATCTGACTGAACCCGAACCGCAACGGCTTGATGTTTGATGGGACCGGCCGTGTTTATGAACCCTATGTTCTTGGCAATGAAGTAATCTCCAACGATGGCTGCAGAAGCATTAACATTTTTCTTTCAAAACAAGAAGAAGCATTAACATTATATGAGTTTTAAGTACAACTATATACAATGTTCAAGATAAGCATGGGTAAAAACAACCGGAACCGAAGATCTAAACCGAAACCAAACCAAAATAACTAAAATTTGTACCAGACCGAAACCTTTAAGAATCGTATAGTTTCTACAATTCTATATCCAAAATAATTGAACCAGATGTGCACCAAATATATAAAAATATTAACTATATACATATAATATAATCATATATATATTTCTAAAAAAATCTGATTAAAACTATCCAAAACTACAAATTATCAAAAAATATATGAATTCCCCGTAATTATTGAGATTCTTTTATCTGGAATATCCAAAATAACTTAAGAGCTTTTAGTTATTTTGGTCATTTTCGAATATTTTGGATAATTATACCCGAACCGAAATAGTATACCCAAATAATAAAGTATCTGACCATTTTTGCTATTTTTTTCTGGATATCAAAACAATATCCGAACAGAACTGTACCGAAATAGCTAAGATATTAATTGGATTTTCTAGACCCTTACCCGAACACCTGAACCGAATCGATATCCAAAATATCCAAGGCTAGTTCTATGAGGTAATTAGATGCTTCACAAGAGATTATTAATTAGATCGACTTTAAGAACACTGAATATATATCTTACCAACAGTGGCGGTACGGTAGGTAGTGATACCATCCATGTAATTCTTGCTACCGGAGATGATAGTTTTGTCAGGACCATCACCAATAAAGACAAGATGAGTCATACTCTTGTTAACTTGCACATACTCCTTGTAGACACCAGCCTTAATATGAACCACGAAAGTCGTATTCTTCTTCTTTGGTACATACTTCATCGCGTCATTGATCGTTGTGTACTGACCACTCCCGTCCTGAGCCACCACAATATCAGCCTTCGCATCCGAATACTCCTCAGCACTCTGCAAGAGCCAACGCCCTCTCTGGTCAACCCACGAGGGAACATCTTCAGACAAAAGCCTACGGCTACTCAACTCAGGAATCTCCATTTGTCCCACGAAACTCGACAGCTCACTGATGATCGCTAGCCCGTTATGCGTCAACTCGATAGCGGTTTTCAAGGCCTTCTTCATGGTCTCTCCAGCGTTCCCTTGCGTCCCTTGAAACCCTTCGAGACAAGTCTCTTCGTGGCTTATCGCCGCGCTGAGCCAGATCCTTAGATTGATCAAAGCCTCGTCGAGTTTGTGGAACTCGAACTTCCCTAGCTCCTCGAAAGAGTTGCTAAGCTCTCCCAAGGCGTAGTCCATGAGCTCCTTGCACTGATCAAGAGCCATCTTAGTTCTTGGATCTTTCTGAAGGTCCATCATGGTCTGAGACTTCTTGGCTGCGTCTGTGATCTGTTTCATTGTGACACTAAACGCGGTTTTAACCAACTCCATGGGGTCGGTTGTGTTGTGACCGTTCTTGAGGAGAGTGTCTTCGCATGTCGTTTTGTAATCAGTTGGTGCGCATATGTCCTTGACGGCCTTGACGGAAGCTGTTAACTCTGGTTTGCTTTTAGAGTTACCGTTACCATCGTTCTTGTGGATGCTGATGATAACGGCGACCACCATGGAGATGAGAATAATGGAGGAGATTGAGATGACTACAACCCTCCTCTTCTTCCTAGAATCATCGTCGTACCCATACGACATATTGTTTTTTTTTTGCGTTTTTTTTTTCTAACAAAATATTTTTTTATTATTATTGTTGAATTATATTGATCAAAATTTGTTATTGAACTTGAACAGCTCTAGAGAAATTTAGAATAAAAATGTTAGAGCTGTTCTTTGTTTTTTTTTTGTGAAAAAGAGATTGTGAGTTTTATGGACTCATCTGTTGGAGGTTACGTAGCGTCCTTGGGAGTGTGCATATGTTCACATAATTGCTGTGGTGTCTTTTTGTTTTTTTTTTTATAACTGAAACGACAATTTAAGAGTTGGTTATTCATGTTGCTTTGGTTTATGAGGTTTGGCGGGAAATAGGGGTACTGAGAAACTGTTGAAATGATAAAGATTGTCTCTGTTTAGTCAGAGTTTCTAAATTGAGAAAATTATTAAATCTTATTTTAGGGATTCAAAACCTGTTTGTTTGTTTGTTTGTTCTACTTATTCTTCTAACCGGAATAATCAGTGTCTTAATGGTGTTGAATAACTGCTAATTGCTATTCAAACTCTTCTCCACAGTTGTGGTTTTATGTCAGGTAATGTCATTTGTTCTGTTTCATATTCTAGAATCAATATGAGAACTGAAACCTAATGTACATATTGTTATATATTCATAATTTATATGTATCTGTGTAGAATAATATATGTATGAATAAATGTTTCTTGTGAGCGAAGAAACTAAAAATGGAAAGGGTGAAAGACGACACGACAATGAATTTGCCGTTTTCGCCGGATTGTAAAGGCTTTCATTTATTTTTGAAGGCCCAAATTGGGAAGTATTAGCCCATTAAGCCTCAGTTTGCAAATTCCCGAGCTTTATTACTGGAACTTGAAGAAGAATGCAGTAATTACCAAAACATCCTAAAGAATGTTTTGGTATTTTTCTTTTTTTGAACACCTATAAAGAAAAAAAAAAAATACCAGGGAGGGAGTTCGGTTCTCAAGGCCCAGATTGCTTTTATAGTCAACCGAATCACTTTGCCGTTTTGGAATAATCCTTAATCATTGTTTAATTTCCTATAGCAATTATCAATATCTAGATGATGAAAGTGAAATTTCACTTTATTAACTTGAAATGAAAGTGATGGTTCAGTAGTGTCGATGTAATAGTTTTATTCTGCAGGTTAATCGTTTGATAATGAATGTTAATTTAATTCTATTGACTGTAAATGTTGATGCGTATACGTTATAATTAATTAAGTGTTATTATTTTATATGAATATAAGGTCAGACAGAATTTTTTTAAATCATACAAGTATTTTGTTTGTCATCAATAATAATTAAATGACCAAAAGTGGAGGCCGATACACAATCATTTCCTTGTCTAATCACATATGCTATTTGGATTGAATAAGTGTTTTTGGGGGAATATTCTGATCTGGTAAAGCACAAAAATGGGGATATTCTTGTCGTTTGATGCTTGCATGGCATATACTTCGCACAACATCAACTATCGTATCGGCAGAAAGACCAAACTCTCCCTTGCTACCAACTCATTACAAGTTATAATTTACCAACAAAATACATGTCTCATGTTTGATATAACTATTTCAATAGGATACCTTAGAAAGTAGCTCAAAAAAACCTGCATGATACTCCAATTACCGGAAAGTTTACCATTTTAGTTAACATATTATAAATTCAGTTATGATTAACAACTGTAGATATATCATATATACGACAAAAAAATATTGGAGATTTTGATTAGACTTTTCATAACATAATAATTTAGTTATAAAAACTGTAAATTGCTTATAAAACAATTAGTGTAAACCGCTTAAGATATATACACAAAAATTTCGGAGTTATTTCCGCTAAGTCAAAATCTAAGGGTAAAATAGTCATTACATTACTTTGTCTAAGACAATGAAACCTTGGAACTCTTGTCCAACTTGGAAACGACGTAATGTTAACCAAGTTGCAAAAAATACACGGCAAAGAGTAGACGGGAGTAAACACATACAATCGATCCTCAACGTACACGTGGTAATATTCTTACGTGTCATCATCTTCATACCTTATAAGACTTAACGTGACGGAACCTCTCCTCCTTCGCCGTTGATTATATACTATTCGTGCCAGACATATTTAAAACCTTAAACTCTGTTCCCTATATATCTTTGTATATTCGCATTAAATCTCAATTACTCTAATTAGTAGAATCTCGACCTCTTTGGATGTCGACGGAGAAATTGCTCGCCACTAACGGCGTTAAATCCGACGGTGTCATCAGAAGAACGGTGGCGACGGCGAATTGTATTAACGGCGGAAGTCAGATATTCGAGGAGCTTCCGAAGGCTAAGATCGTCTCTGTCTCACGTCCCGACACGACTGATTTTAGTCCTTTGCTTCTTTCTTACACCTTGGAGCTTCAGTATAAACAGGTAACAATGTCTACATACATATTTTGCAATGTTGAATTTGTCATTAGGGGTTTTGTTTTTGTATTAATTGTTAATCAATCCTCTGTTTTTTTTTAAAAAAAATTTTGGTATGTTTTAGTTCAAGTGGACATTACAAAAGAAAGCTTCACAAGTTTTATACCTACACTTTGCTTTGAAGAAACGTTTGATCATTGAAGAACTCCACGACAAGCAAGAACATGTAAGAATGTTTAAAGCTTTGTAGATTTTGCTGACACACACATAAATAAAATTATTGAAACTTGAAAATTACTGTTTTTGGACAGGTAAGAGAGTGGCTGCACAGCTTAGGGATCTTTGATATGCAAGGATCAGTTGTACAAGATGATGAAGAACCTGACGATGGTGCTCTTCCTTTGCAATACACTGAAGATAGTGTCAAGAACAGGTGTTCTAAAAATCTCAGATAATTATCTTTTCTTTTTTATTTTTATTGGTTTTTTAAAGTTTCTGAAACATTAGATTGATATGTTGTTCAGGAATGTTCCTTCGCGTGCAGCGTTATCAATCATCCGTCCAACATTAGGCCGGTCAGAGACTGTTGTAGACCGTGGGAGAGCCGCAATGCAAGGCTACTTGAGTCTCTTTCTAGGGAACTTGGACATTGTTAACTCCAAAGAGGTTTGACTTTTTCTCTCTGGCAATGACCTGACTTTTCTAAGTGTGGCTACTATGTTGAAGGCCGGATCACATTGGCCTTGGCTCCCAAAAATTTTTAAAGCTATTTAGTCCCTTAAATTACGAAAAAAAGTTTTTATTATTAAAGTTCCTCAAAAATGTTTATAATCCTCAAAATCTCAGTTTAGAGGCTATTTAGCCCCTTAAAAAATGTTTATAGGCCATGTTTCTTGACTCACACTCTAAATGTATCCACAGGTGTGCAAGTTCTTGGAAGTTTCTAGACTATCCTTTGCTAGAGAGTATGGCTCTAAGATGAAAGAAGGGTATGTCACAGTGAAAGACCTGAAGGAAGTCCCAGGATCTGATGGTGGTCGATGCTGTCTTCCTTCACATTGTCTAGGCTGCTTTGGTAATAACTGGTCAAAGGTTAGGACCGGGTTTGTGTCATGTTTCTGAATTTTTTCTTCTTTGATAAATAATTTCTAATTTTAAAATGTTTTACAGGTTTGGGCGGTTCTGAAACCTGGCTTCTTGGCGTTACTCGAAGATCCTTTCGACGGAAAGCTTCTAGATATAATGGTGTTCGACTCATTAGGGTTTCAAGGTACAAAAGAGTCTTCTGAGCAACCGCGTTTGGCTGAACAGGTGAAGGAACGCAACCCGTTGCGTTTTGGATTTAATGTTATAAGTGGAGACAGAACCGTGAGGTTCAGAACTACGAGCTGCAGGAGAGTTAAAGAGTGGGTTAAGGCCGTGGACGAGGCTGGTTCCTACAATCCACATAGGTTTGGTTCTTTTGCGCCGCCTAGAGGATTGACATCAGATGGAAGCCAAGCTCAGTGGTTTGTAGATGGTCACACTGCGTTTGAAGCCATTGCTTTTGCTATCCAAAACGCTACTTCAGAGGTACCATTTCTTTGTGTACTATAGAGTTTTTGAGTGAAGTCTAAAATGTAAACCTTAATGTGTAGATATTTATCACTGGTTGGTGGTTATGTCCGGAGCTATATCTCAAACGCCCGTTTCAAGATCATCCATCTTTGCGTCTAGATGCCTTGCTTGAGACCAAAGCAAAACAGGGTGTTAAGGTAATGCTTAACTAATATTTTATTGGTTTTGTTATAAACTCTAACGTGAAAATATTTGAACTTTGTTACAGATTTATATTCTTATGTATAAAGAAGTTCAACTCGCGCTGAAAATCAATAGTATGTACAGCAAGAAACGGCTTCAAAACATTCACAAGAACGTTAAAGTTCTTCGTTATCCAGACCATCTCTCCACCGGAATATACCTCTGGTACAGTAATAAACAAAACTTGCAGATTAACCTAACTTCTTATGCACGCAACTAATTGAAGTTGAATTCTATGCTTTTTTCAGGTCGCACCATGACAAGATAGTGATTGTAGATTACCAAGTCTGCTTCATTGGAGGGTTAGATCTTTGTTTCGGTCGGTACGATACAGCTGAACACAAGATTGGAGACTGCCCTTCTCGTATATGGCCAGGAAAAGATTATTATAACCCTAGGTAAGGTTCATGAACTTTATTTAACAAAAGGAATCATATATCTTAAGAGTTGTTATATCTATTGTCAGACAATCTGAACCAAACTCATGGGAGGAAACAATGAAAGACGAGCTAGACCGAAGAAAATTACCTAGAATGCCATGGCATGAAGTTCACTGTGCTCTCTGGGGACCGCCTTGTCGCGATGTGGCTAGACATTTTGTCCAAAGGTGGAACCACTCTAAGGTAAATGCATTGTAGCTAGAGGTCGTTTAGTTCAGTTGGAAATGATTTTGGCCATTGTGTCGATTCGAATGACCAATGAGACGAAACTAATATTACATGATGTGGTTTCGGAGGTTTAGGATATTCAAAATATTAAAAAAATGTATTGTTAGAGATATTAGTTTGTGTTTTGTTTTACAAGGTTTTGATAATGTTTAGTCTTTTTGTTTTGATTAGAGAAACAAGGCACCTAATGAACAGACGATTCCTTTGCTGATGCCTCAGCACCATGTTCTTCCTCACTACTTGGGAACTAGAGAGATCGATATCATCTCAACATCTAAACCAGAGGAAGACCCTGACAAACCTGTTGTTCTATCCAGACAAGACTCATTCTCATCTGCCTCACCTCCTCAAGACATCCCTTTGCTTCTCCCGCAAGAAACCGATGCGGATTACTCCACTAAAGGAGATATAAAGTTTGATAGATGTTCAAGACAAGCCCTAGATGGTCGAGATGAGTACCCTGGAGAAACTTCAGAGGAGAGCGATAGGGATGAGACTGCGAACGAGTGGTGGTGGCAGATAGGGAAGCAAAGTGATTGTAAGTGTCAGATCATTAGAAGTGTTAGCCAATGGTCAGCTGGTACTAACCAGCCTGAAGATAGCATTCACCAAGCTTACTGTTCTCTCATCCAAAACGCTGAACATTTTATCTACATTGAGGTATATAGATAGTAAAATATTTTCTTATAAAATCTCTTAATCTTCAGATTAAACTAATATTCCGGTTTAACAGAACCAATTCTTCATCTCTGGGCTAGAGAAAGATGACACGATTCTAAACCGAGTTTCCGAGGCCTTATACAGACGCATTCTGAAGGCTCATGAGGAGAAGAAGTGCTTCCGTGTAGTAATCGTTATACCTCTCCTCCCTGGATTTCAGGTACAGTTTAGTTCTTTGTATTTTATACACAAATTTTTAAAGAACACAATTCATTTTATACATTGACATTAAACAGGGAGGTGTTGATGAGTTTGGAGCAGCTACGGTTCGAGCACTGATGCATTGGCAATACCGTAGCATCTCCAGAGACCGAACATCGATTCTTGACAACCTTAAGTCTTTGCTCGGTCCCAAAACGCAAGACTACATCTCTTTCTATGGTCTGAGATCACATGGACGGTTGTTTGAGAATGGTCCTATTGCTACTAGCCAGATTTACGTGCATAGCAAGTTACTGATTGTTGATGACCGGATTGCTGTGATTGGTTCTTCTAATATTAACGATAGGAGTTTACTAGGGTCACGAGATTCTGAGGTAGTTCCACAACTCTCATTTATATTTTTTTTTGTTGAAGAAATAAAAAGGAGTTGTGTATTCATTTTGAAACATAATGTTTTTCAGATAGGAGTTGTGATTGAAGACAAAGAGTTTGTTGAATCTTCAATGAATGGAGTGAAGTGGATGGCTGGAAAATTCTCTTATAGTCTCAGATGTTCACTTTGGTCGGAACATCTTGGTCTCCCAGCCGGAGAGGTAATTTGGATTAAATAGTATTTTCACTCGTTAATTTCATAGTAACTTTTAAAATGTTAAAATATTATTTGGGTGTTTAGGTGAAAATGATAGAAGATCCAATAAAAGATGAAACATACCAAGACTTGTGGATGGCCACGGCTAAGAGGAACACTGACATCTACGACAAAGTCTTCTCTTGCATACCAAATGAAAATATACGCTCAAAGTTCGTACTTCTAACCTTCTATGAACCTTAATATATCTACCGAGAGATTACATATAAATGTAATGCTTATGATTTTGATTATCTTCCTAATCACAGAGCTGCATTGAGTCTCAACGTGGCTCTTTGCAAAGACAAGTTAGGTCATACGACGATCGACCTTGGCATTGCACCAGAAAAGCTAAAACCATGCGGAAGCGACTCGTGGGAGATGTTGAAGGAAACTAGAGGACATCTTGTTTGTTTCCCATTAAATTTCATGTGCAATGAAGAAGATCTAAGGCCGGGTTTCAACGAAACTGAATTCTACACTGCTCCTCAAGTCTTCCACTGACCACTAAGCTGGTTATCGAAAACTATATTAGATGGCTAAAAAGTCAACACGTTTTTATATGTGTAGAGATGTTAGTTATATAGGTATAATATTGAGATAATTACTTTTGATTGGTTTCTAGGTTTGAGAAGGTGTGTATGTTTATATAGAAGAATAAAAACAAACTATTTGTGAATATCTAAAAGTTCCTCAAGCTGTACAATATTCCTTCCATTCCTAAAAGATCTATATTTCAGAGAAATTTTTTGTTTCTAAAAGTTCTATTTTTTGCATTTTCAATGCATATTTTATTAAATTATTGCAAATTTCAAAACACTTAATTGCGTTTATTAGGTTTTTATTGACTTAAAATTATGGGAAAATCTTAGAATATTGATCTTTTAGTAACGGAAGGAGTACTACTAACTTATTTTTTATAAGATTCAGTGCGATCTCTTGAGAGTCTATTTACATGACAACAACATTTTCAGGATCCCAAAACCATTACCTACTAACAGGTTATGGCAGGGTGAACATGTTGCAATAAAGATGACAATGACTAAGAATGAAAGAAGAGGCAAACGGCTGAAATATCATCCATTGCAATACCACGTCTCTTCTTATTCCAAGCCCTAACCGCTTGCTCCACAAGCCGCTTGGCCGCCTTTGGCCGCTCTGCGGTTGAGGAAACAATGTCTATAGCCTCTTCATTTGATATCACATCCCATACCTAAGTAAATGACTTCATCATTAATAAGCAAACAAAATTTAAATATCTCATTTTTTTAAGCTTACCCCATCAGTTGCCAAGATTACAAACTGGTCTCTAGTGGAGATATGTCTTTGCGTCACTTCAGGAACTGAGACCAAACCGTACTCTTTGATACAATAGTCTCCGAATGCTCTCGACATTGCTAGCCCTGGAGACTCTTCTTCTGGTTGCCACACACGGTGGACCCCTGGCTCGTCTTCTAGGCAGAATACTCGCCCGTTGCATTCGATTATACGTTCCTCTTCCTCTGTTTTTCATAAAAAATAAAACATAAAAACATGTAAATATATTCATAACCACTGAGACTAACATGATCTGTTTAGGTATAGTATTATAATGTATATAGAACTAACGAGGTATGTTCGGTTTGAAATCGACTGTGAGCTGAACAGCGGTTAAACTTCCTTCTTCTGATACCGTGGCTAGAACGGCACGTGAATCTCCAACATTTGCTACATAAATAACTTCACCCTGTAGCAATATACCATTTAATATCATTCATTACCGAACATGTCTAAGTTTCACAAAATCTTGATGGTCTCTTTACCTGTCTGACAATGGTTAGAGCGGTTGTGCCGCTGTTGAACGTATCGATCTTTCGGTGATGTTGAAGCTCTTGATCAACATCTGCACAGGTTTTGAGGTACAAGTGTTTCCAGATGGCGAACCGTTGATCCGTTTCGGGTTCTGCTAATGTGGTCTGAGATAGAGTCTCTTGCCAGTTGCAAAGCAGAGATATAGGCATTGAGTTTCTGACTTGTTTAGACACGAAATGACCCCAGGGACCATGTCCATCGAATATCCCACAGAACATCATGTCTTCTTGACATCCAAATTCCTGTTTTAAGATTCAAGAAAATCTTTTTGTTACTAAAGTTTAGGAAACCTAGTGAGCCAGTTTTGAATTTGAATCTAAATAATTAAGCATTAATTAATAGGGTAATAATGTACCTCCCAGACGATGGCACAGTCCTGATTAACACCTTTCTCACCGCGTCTGGAGAAAACAGAGGCCAAGTTATTGGATCCATCTGCATTAACACAACCAGAAGACTTAAGAATCATCGCCTTCTTCTTCGCCTCTCTCGCCATTTCATCTGCGGCTTCCTTCACGTAGCTTTTACTGTTGTTTTGGGCTTTCTTGTTGGAGAAGGATCTAGCTAAGCTGTTGAACATGGAAGAGAAATGCCCCATTTTGCCTAGAAGGTGAAACTACCATATGATCTTGAAACCTGTGGGTGGTATGTATGGTATTATACATAGAGAGGTTCAGATAGTTGCATTAAATCAAAGTGCAAGAGGGAGTTAAAATAATGTTAAAAAGGTACTAAGTTTTGCTTTTGAGATTCTTTTTCCCGGGAAAAAACAGGGGATACAAGATAATCTGAGGACTTTTAAAACAGTTAAAAGACAAGAGAATCTTCATGTCTGACATGGAATTCCATTGACACACTAGAACTTGAGTTTCTATAGGAAAAATATAAAACTTAGAACTTGGACTAATTTCTTTCATAAAGAAACATATGAGAATCTGATCAGACTTGGAAGCCAAATCGAGTTTTATCTTTTAAGAAATATATATCAGGAGATATCTTCTTAACATAGAAATCAAGTAGCAATATATTTGAAGATTTTCTCTTTGTTACTTTTCCAGGAAAATAGGCATTAAAACCTTCACAACTTAGAGAATCATGAAATTAAAAAGCACGTTAGTCTTTAATATTCTCTTTGCCTAATTCTACTATTTTTGTGAAACAAGATTGCTGCCAAACCCACTAGTTTTACTTGTATTTAAAATATTAAACCTTCCAAATTAGCAAAAAAAAAAATTTAAATTTCAGAGACAATTAAAGAGGAAGAAAATAATCGATTACTTATGAGTTACATCAGTTCTTCATAAAGTAAATACTAAGTAATTAAAGGGACTTCTGAAGAGAAAAAACAAATAAGAAACATTTGTTTATGTCCTCATGTATTCAAGATTCAGAGACCAGAACTTGCTTATAGAACTAGCAAAATTATATTTTCACATACGATATTTCTAACCACAATGTGATTTCGAAGTGAAGAGTATTGTAAAATCAAACTGAAAGAAAAAAATATATCAAAACAAGTCCAAAGTGTATGAAGGAAAGGATAAGGGGAAAGAGAGATGAGGAGGAAGAACTGACGTAGTACACACGGCGAAGATGATGGAAGCTCGGAGAAAAATGACGTAATGTACACCGGAGGGGAAACTAATAATGCAGAGAGAGGAAGAGTCACGAATCAGAAATCACCAGAGTCCATCTTAAAAAAAGGTTGACAGATATCACTTAATTTTATTTCTTGGGATATTCTATTCCCCTCTCATTTTTCTTGTGGCAACAAGATAAAGGCAGAGACGTAGCAAGATATAATCTTTTGTCTTTAGTTGGTTATATATATTATCTTTTATAAATCGTCCATTCTTGGTGAAATTTTGTATATATCTATATAACTGATCGGGAATTTGTTAAATGGCCAAATGATTTTGACGAATGTTAAAATTTTATTATTTTTCATCTTTCACGCAACGTTGTGTTAGTGAAAATGAATTTTAAGATCTTATAACGAACATATTGATATCCCACATCATGTTTTCTCTAAAAAAATATCAATATATATATATATATATATATATATATGTGTGTGTGTGAATTATTAGACTTATCATCAATAAATTTAATATGATATTAGAGCCATATTTACGCAATTGAAACTCATAACTGCTATGATCCAAATTGATCCCACCGATCATTTTTTTATTTTTGAAATTAATGGCCAAATTCTATTATCTTGAAATGATAATAAATAAATAAATCACACATTAGTTTTTTAAACTTAAATAATATATAAAATATTGACAATTTACTATTATGTTCAGTTTTTTTTTTTTTTTTACAACATGTTCGGTTAGTTTTAAGTTACGAATTGAACTAACTAACCCCGTTATATTGGATTTATGTTAGCTTAGTGATGGCTAGCTTAGTTAATTTTCTAGATACAATTATCAAATAGCCTGCATTTCACTTAAGTGATCAGTAGATAACAATAGTCCGTTTATAAAATTTTAAATAAGCTTGCTGTAATCTCTAATGTTGGTTCTGCTGGCGCTTTCTTTTGTCTCTTTTTCAATGCTTTGTTCGAGCAGCGAACACGTAATGGATAAAAAGCTCAATTATGCAAAAAGACTGTTTCCGTAATGGGTAAAAAAGGAGCTTAAAAAGAATTGACGTTTTGTCGCTTTGAGTCTTGAGCATGCAAACTAATAAAGCCCGTCGATCGCATAACCAAACACGTTTAACATATATAAATCAAAGAATCTGGAATATGTAGAAAGAAACGTTACAGTATTCCATTTTCATGCAAATTATTATTTTTTAGATACAAATGGTCCACGTTTGTACCTACCTCGAAGCTATACAAACCATATATTAAACCAAACTCTTGAGATATTAGGTTAATACTGAAAATAACAAATGCTTAGGTAGGTTGGGCATTACTATCAAACCTCCTACGGTATCAAACGAATAGAACGAAACAGTCGGAGCCGGTGGGAATCTCACCATGACATGACTGTGTATGACCAGCATGGGACCCAGTGGATTATGGTCCGATGACACATTATGGTGTCAGCGACGACGATGCAAACAAAATTGTTGCATTGAGTCAATAATTTTGACCTGATTAATAATCAACCACAAGAAGACATTCAATAGCGCTAGAGACCCAAATGTTAGCAAAAAAAACAAAAAATATCGCTAGAGACCAATAATCCCATGTGACGAACACCATATGACACGTGCCGGAACAGAGAATCTTGGAGGACTTTCGGTGTGAGTGAACGCGAGAGTCTGTCATTTCCCAAATGTAAGGGACACTTCAGAGTATTTTTGTTTGGTTTAAAAGTTAAAATCCATGTGAGAACCATATTGATTAGTTTGGTCCTCTTTGGGGGTCCACTAGCGACCACAGTGCCATGCCATTCTTTTGAACAGTCTCATCACATGTGGGACGGTGCACCAGATAAGGACTTTTTTTTTGTTTGTGTGCCGTGGCCTCCCATTCCACTTTCAAGCCCCAACATTTGACCCCTTTCTGCTATTTCTAGTTATAATTTTCATTATAGTTTTGTTATTTGGTCAGATTCTAAAATTGATATACACTTCAAACAATGTTATTTTATTTTTTTATAATTATTTACAGTTAAATAAATTCAACAATAATCATTGTACGTGTGTCGTGGACAAAGGAAAACTCAGAAAATGTGATGAATCTAGTGGTGAATGGCTTTTGATTGATTGGTTGTAAGAAAATGATTATAATTTATGATCCATTTGATTATATAGAATCATTATAATTACAATCATTACAAGGCTATCTATCTTTCTCTGAATAATCATTTAATAGCGCATTATCTTGCTAAAATTTGGATTAAGATCAACTCATGCAATGATTGGTCGTGCCACACCAAAATGATTAGGTGTGAGGAAAAACAAGTGAGGTATGTTGTACATTAATTATAGAATCACAAATATAATAAAATTTTGGAGAGTAAAGGAGTTTCACTTTTATTCGAGAGGTGACGAGAAACTTCAACGCTTTAACAGATTGGGCCATAATGGAGACCCATATAGTATCCCAAAGATTGAAACTACGGGAATCACTTAGAGCAGGAGGTGCTATTGTATATGTGTATGTAAGTGTGGGATTCACTATTTTGTAGAGACACATCCCACACTAAAGGTTCTTAAGAACATTTATATATACATATACAATATACAGAGTCGGTCCTAGACTTTTCAAAACCACAAGCCCAAAACATAAAAATGGCTGAAAAAAATTGAAAAAAAATGCACATGATGGGCATCAAACCCAACCTCTCACACATGTACAGTGGACAACAAACCACTAGACCACTGAAACTTTTGAAAATTATGTGGCCGGTTTTATACTTATTAATTTGTGGCCGCAAGCATGTGCTTCATTTGCTTCTATCAAGGACCACCTCTGAGAATATACATATACATTTTAAGAATTCTAATGGATAGAATCCCTGTTGGAGATGCTCTTAGTTCCACAAGGTGATTCAACATCAATTTCATATAAGCATGATTTAACCAATACCATATCGTAAATGACACCATATATTTTTATGTCAGTGCAGTGCATTATACAATTATACATAAAAACAAAAATAATTTTTTTTTTCTAATTTATCTTAAATTATGTGGGTTAATCCCTACAAAAAGATAGAGTTTCCGATAAATGTTATATATACTAAAATTTAGTGTCTTTAGTTTTGTTTAAATATACATAACCACATTCAAAATTTATATTAATGTACTAAAATTATGTTTATGGTACATGGGCATCAATTATAATTTTTAACCGAAGATTTAATAAAATTTCATATACCACCAAAATCAGTAAACTAAACCCTATGAAATCTCTAATTTTTAGAGAAATTTGGATAACTAAGATATCAAAACTCTTTGACATTCATCATTCATCAATGCTTGATGTAGCTATGCATAAATACTAAAATTTTATATTTTTAAAATTAATTTGAAATATGTAGGTTAACTCCTGTGAAAAGATCAAGTTTTTTCTGATAAATATTATTTGTACTTAAGTTTAGACTCTTTACTATTGTTAAAAAAATATCTAACCACATTAAAATTTTATACTTATTTATGCTAAATTTATTTTCATGGTACACGAGCATCAGTTATAATTTTCCAACGAGTAATTTATTAAAACTTCATATACTACCAAAAAAAATAAAAAATAAACCCTATGAAATCTCTATATTCTAGAAAAAATAGGATAAGATTATAAATTTATATTAATGTATTTAAATTTATTTTCATGGTACAAGAGCATCGTTTAGAATTTTTGAACGAGTTATCTATTTTAATTTTCTATATCATCTAATCACTGGACTAACCCCAATAACAAAATATTTTTGGAGAAACGGGAACACCAAAGGTCTCAAACCTCTTTCATCTTCATACTATGTCAGTGCAGAATACTTCTATGCAGTAAAACAAAAAATAACATATTTTCTAATTTATCTTGAAATATGTGGGTTAACCCCTACGAAAAGATCGAGTTTTCCGATCAAGGCTATAAATTGAAGTTTAGGGTCTTTATTGTTGAATAAAAAATAC